AATGGGAAAAAACACTCCTTGGATGCTCCCTGAGCCCCCCACCATCCTGTCTACCAGTAAGAAAGAACTCAGTTGGGAAGTTTCCTCAGTTGAGCCCTTCAGCCACTATCAAAACAGCAAACGCATCCCGGTCTAGCCAAAGACAGCAGAATGGGTGGGAAGGTCACTGGGATCCTGCCCAAGTCATCAGCTCAAGGTCATGAGCATGATGTGAATTGAGGGCAGGCACTGTGAATGTTTCACTGAATGCTTGTTACCTCTGCAGTTGTCAAAATACATTTCTTTGGGCCCTTACCTTTTATGAGGGAGCTTCAAAAAGTTTGTGAAAGAATTTTTTGAAACCTCTTGCATTTTGGAGGTTTACCAGCTCCTTCCTCAACAACTCTCCAGTATACCAGCTATCACTAGGTCAACTCTGACTCCTAATGACTCCATGTGGGTCAGAGTACACTCCACAGAGTTTTCAGTGGCTACATTATTGGCAGTAGTTTGCCAGGCCTTTCTTCCAAGGTACCTCCCTCTGGGTTGACTCTAACATCCATCCTTTTGGTTACAGAGTGATCATGTTGACTGTTTACACCACCCAGGGATGAGGCACATTGTAATCAACAGGGTCCTTATAAAAAGGGAGGCAGAAAGAAACTTGATTACAGAAGAAAGTGGCCATGTGATGTCCAAGGCAAGATTCAACGTTGCTACCTTTGAAGGATGAGGAGGAGGGGACCAGGAGCCACAAAATGCAAGGAGTGCAGCTCTAGACACGGGACAAAACACGGAAGTAGCTGCTCCTTTAGGGCTTCACTTCACATTCCTGACCTCCAGAACTCCCAGCAAAGGCGTACTGCTTGAAGTCACCGAGTTATTGCCCGTTGTTAGAGACAATGTACGGGAGCACCCTCTCCCCTCCCAGGTGACTCCCATACAGGTAGCCCACGCCAGCCAGACCTCAGAAGGCACCACTCAAAGCTGTCCTAATCTGCTGCTCGAGCTCAGCCCCACGCTCAGCGGACCAAGGCATCTTGTTAGAGTTGAAACCTGCACAGACATCTGCTTCCACTGGTTCATTTTACAGATGGAACAACCAAAGCCCAGGAAACCCCACAGCAAGGCATATAAGGGAGACAGCATTTGGCTACCATTGCATTGGTGTTCAGATTCTCTTTGGGGATTTTTAAGTGAGCGATTGTGCAGCCTGTGGGGTAGCTTTGCAATAATCTCATCAGAACCCAATCGTGAAACGATTTAGCAACCCTGCTGCTAATTGTATTTGGGGATATAGCAATTGGGTAGCTAGCTGCTTATTACTCATTACTGAGAGCTATACATATAGCATTACAAGGAAGCTAATCTTAGCAATACTTGTTAACTTCACTGATAATTACTAAGTAATTGGCTAGGACATATTATTGTGAATTTATAAGGGATAGGCCAGGTAATTATCTGGTCTTATGTTCCCTGTAAAATAATCCAGTGTCCAAAAATTGTTCCACTTGGTTGGCTCTTGTTCAACCATTGGCCTCAACCAGCCAATCATGCACATGCAAACGATTAATCAAATTACTCCAATATTTGGTTTCAAATGGAACGCTCAGAGGAGAAACCTGGATGGCCAACAAGTGGATGCTGCTGAGCAGGATGGAGGGGGGCACAAACCCCCCCTAAGATAAATATATAACAACAGAATAATAGGGAATAAATGCCACTTCTTTGGGGCTCATCTGGCATCCTCGAGGCTTCACGAAAAATACCAAAACACTTCAGAGACCAATTACATGTCCCAAAGCTGCACCGGCTTTATTGTGGAGCAAGGAAAAGGCGTGTTGTTTGTGAAATCTGTAGACAGGCATGGTAGGCATGTGTGGTGTTGGGGGGGTGGGTGGAGGTGGGGACGTCGGTCACAGTTTGGGGCATAATGGAAAAGGACCGCAGAGCAGCTGTAGAGCAGGCCGAGTGGCACATTTCTACAACTACTGGTGTAGTTGGGCAGCTGTGAACTCTACACTCCCAGTGAGTGGCCCAGGGAAGGGGCCAAGGAAGGCATGGGTAACTGGGCTCCACTGATAACACCCAGAAGCCGGGAGCAAGAGAACAGAGACTACTAGATAGGCCGGGAGGAAACATGATGATGGATTTCAAAATTCCTCTCGTTTTGTTGTTGTTACCTGCCCTAGACACAACCCTGTGAACCTAAGCACAATGGAAGGAAACAGCCTGGCCCAGTGCCAGCCCCGTGATTGGCTGGGGTTTAGACCAGTGTTACCCATAGGCTGTTCACTGGCTGATCTGGGAAAGTAGATTGCCAGGACTTTCTTCCTAGTCTGGAAGCTCCTCTGAAACCTGTTCAGTGTCATAGCAATACACAGCCTTCACTGTAAGGTGGGCATGACACCGTCCTGGAAGGTGCGAGTCCCACTACTGAACCACCACCGCCTCCCTCTCTCATTTAGGGAGGTCAAGACAAAGAGCCACCAGGTCATAGATCGGAACAGAAAGAAAGCTGGGGTAAGCGACAGGTCAGCTCTGTGGGAGAAAAGGCAGTGCTGGGGAATATACCATCAAACCACTTCACAATCACCTGGTCCATCCCCGCTGAGCGGTAAGAAGAGGAGGCAGGAAGAGAACCACAGACCTGCCCCTCCTGCAGCTCAGTATCACAATGTGACACTGCAGACACTCCTGCCGCAGGGCTAAGTCGGCTTCTCCACATCTGGGGTGGAGGAAGGGTCTCTGTGGTGCTTGGCTTCTAATGGAAACGGTGGATGTTTGAGTCTACCCAGAGGCACCTTAAAGAAAGGTCTGGCAATCTGCTTCTGAAAAGTCTGTGGAAACCCTATCAAGCTCAGTTCTACTCTGATAACACACGGGGTTGCCATGAGTCAGAGCTGACTTGATGGCACCTGGTGTTAAATCTAGGCTGACCACATGGTTTGCTTCGGCCAGTGGACACTGACAATGCAACGCCAGACAAGGCTTGGAAAGCACTTGTGCGTTAGGACTTGATCTGCTGTGGTACCTGGGGCTCTGAGAGAACTATGGGAATATCCTGAGCTTGCCTATAGGAGGAATGAGCCTGAGCTTGCCCGTTGGAGGACGAGAGACCATGACGTAAGGCACCACAGCTAACAATTTATCAACCAACAGTCATGTGAGTGAGGGTACACCTCGCTTACACGGCAACTGACCACAAACACATACAAAAGCCCAGCTGCTGAGCCTTGCTCAGACCAGAACTGTCCACAAAAGAAAGAAAACCCACCACGTTTGGGGGCAGTTTGTCATTCAGCAAACCCTTACTGACACACTTGCATAATCAGGAGAGTTCAGCCTCTGAGCAGTACGGAGGCTGAATGTTTGAAGGTCACCTCTGGCCTGCGCAGATCTGAGAATCACCCTTTAAACACTGGCTTATGGAAGAATGATCAGCCCTACCTTGCCAGTCCTTTGCAAGCACCCATCATTCAATACAGGGGCTCTAGTCAAGCCACCAACTGCATCACCAATGGTGAAGGACAAGGAGCAGACCTTTACTAATCACCCATCTGTCAGGCTGTGGTACTGTGGTGGCTTGCGTGCTACTATAATGCTGAAAGCAATGGCGCCAGTATCTCAGACACCAGCAGGGTCACCCATGGTGATGAGGTTTCAGCAAAGCTTTCAGAGTAACACTAGGAAAAAAGGCCTGGAGATCTACTTCCAAAACCAGCCAATGAAGACTCTATGAATCACAGCAGAATACTGTCTATTGGTTGGCAGACAATTAAAACCCACACTGGGCAACAGACGTGAGCAGACCAGCTCATGAAGATGGTATAGAACTGGGCAGCGTTCAGTTTCAGGGGACGTAGGGATACGAGTTGGCGCCCACAGCAGTGAACCACAACAACTGATCCCCTAGATATCACATATATGGATGCAAAGAGGCTTTGTGTCAACAGAGAACCACTCGAAGGCACACCAACCCTTCCCTGAGTCTACAGCTCCTGCTACCACACCACCCAAGATACAAGTCTTGTGCCTTTGGGATCTTACTGCTTGAGATTGGGAAGGGAAGGGCTCCAATGACCTTTTATACCACCAGCCATACCAAGCATGTCACAGTTGTGGCCCAGCCTCGTGCCAACAGGGGAGCAAATGCCAGAGTTTGAAATACGCCAAAGAATTTTTCCCCAGCTATGCAGCTAAAACCAGAGGTCTTTATGGGTTGAAGAGCGAGTCCAAGAAAGTCACTATTATCTGATGTTCTTTTAATGTCTGTTCTCCATTAACTACCCCTTCCTTCTGTGTGCCCATAGGTCACAGATCCTGGATATTCCTAACAATGATGGCAAACTGTGAATATGCCAAGGTATGATTCATCAGAATCTTAATGTGGGGATCGGCCAACCAATCTAGCCTGACACTTGTTCCTATAAATAAAGTTTTATTGGCACACAGCTAATCTGTTCACATACGTCCGTGTCTGCTTTTGTGCAACCATAGTAGAGTTGAATAGTTATGACAAAGGCCATGTGGCTCCCAAGGCTGAAAATATTTACCACTGGGCCTGCTCTAGACAAAAACATTCACCCTTGGTTTAGCCTTATCTGTTCAGTTCTACAGGAGCCCTGGTGTGGTGCTGTGGGCTAATGCGTCAGACTGCAAAGTTGTTTGAACAGCAAGGTTGGTGGTTCAAGCTTACCAGCTGCTCCTTGGAAACCCTATACAGGGTTCCTATGGGTCGGAATCAACTCAACAGCACTTAACAACAACATTTAATTGTACCTATGGAGAACTTGAATCTCTGAGGTGTTGTGAACAAACACTTGGAACAGAGAGGGGGTGAGACCCACCTTTTCAGACTCCCCACTGAATGGTCCCTCCAAGACATGCTTACACGAAGAGACTTCGCATAAAAAGTATTATCCGCATCAGCAATCGCAAAGATGGCTGAGCTGGTGAACTACCTCAGGCCGGCTACAAGCAGGGGTTTTTTGCATCACCCCTGCCCAGGTGGGACTAACCTGGTGATGATGGCCAGGTGGGGCGGGCTCATGCAGGCGCCCATGAAGAGGACCACGTTCTCGTGCCGCGTCTGCCTGTACGCCATCACCTCCCTCTTGAAGGCCTTCAGCTGGTCCTCGTTGTCCCTCTCAATGTCGATCAGCCGGATGGCCACCTCTCCGTGCCAGCGGCCGTGGTACACCTGCCCGAAGCGGCCCTTGCCGATGAGCTCACCCATCTCCAGCTGCTCGAAGGGGATGTCCCATTCCTGGAGGAAGATGCTGGTCTGGCTGGCCTTACGTGGGAAGCTCCGGGCAGAGAGTAGGGACAGGTTCATCTCCTCAAAGTCATCCTCTGACTCCTCCGTTTCCTGGTGGCCCTCTTCATTCTGTGGCCAGAGCAAGGAGAGGTTAAAGCTATGCCTGCCCCAACCTGGCCTCGCCCCGAGGGTCTGCGTGGGTCTTTCTTTCCCTGCATGTTCTCCTGGTGTGTGCACACTCTCTTTCTTCCCCCAGGTAACGAGCGGCTGCAATCATATTGTGTACCTTTGCTCTCTCTTTTTTGCTGAGGGAGAAATACAGAGGAGTACTGCAGGGGACCCCTATCTGCTTTACTGGGACTGCCCCAGTTTGGGCACTGAAAGGCCCACATCCCAGGAACTGCCCCCTCCCCCAAGTCCCAGGTCAGCCAGGGGCGTGGGTCACCTACGGAGTACCATGCTGTAGGTCACAGCAAGAACTAGCATGAAGATTGCAGCTTCTCAGCTCCTAATGTTGAAGCCCTAATTAATCAATGCCACTGTTGCTCCATAGGGTTTTCAAAGGCTGTTTTTTTGGAAGAAGATCACCAGGTCTTTATTTTGAGGCACCTTTGGGTGACCTTGAGCCTCCAAACCTTTGGTTAGCAGTAAGCAACTTAAGTGTTTGTGCTTCCCAGAGACTCAGTGACAAAGGTGTTGTTAAGTGCCATCAAGTTGGTTCTGACTCATAGCAACCCTGTATAGGGTTTCTAAGGAGTGGCTGGTGAGTTAGAACTGTCGATCTTGTGGCTCAAACCGATCTTGTGGTTCACTGCTCTATTCCCACAGCAACACAGCAGGACTACAAATAAAAATAACACACTAACGTACAGGCACAGCACGTACATGCATCGGACAAACCATAGCTCTCTCATTAGGAAGAGTCTGCTTCCTTCTAGGAATTTAGGACAGACAAGAAACTGGAAGATGCCGGAGCTTCTAGGGCAGCTGGGGAGGGCAGGAGACATTTGAGTGTGATCTTTCATTCTTGCTGGTGTTAGCTGCCATCGAGTCTGCCCCCGACTCACGGTGACCCCGTAACAATAGGATGCAGTGCGCCCAGTCGTGTGGCACACCCTGATAAGCTGTGGATCAGACTGCTGTAATCTCTAGGGTTTCCGCTGGCTGAATCGTGGACGAACATTACCAGACCTTGTTTCCATCTGAGTCTGTAAATTCCGCTGAGACCTGTTCAGCAACAAGCAAGCCTCCGCTGACAGGAGGGATACACTGGCCAGGAATCGAACCCGTGTCTCCCTGTGGGAGGTGGGAATTCTACTACTGAACCTACCTGAGGTAATCGAATGGGTCACCAGTCAGACCGATTGAACATGACCCTGACCTCTCTGTGATCTTGGGCAGGGCATTGCCCTTATCTGAGTTTCCCTTTCTTTTCTGTAAAGTTGGTACTAAATGATGTGGAATCAGTTCCAACTCATACAGACCTTATATAGGATCTCCAAGGGGCAATTAGTGAGTTTGAACCTCCAACCCTGTAGTCAGACGTCCAGTGCTTATTCAACAGTGCCACCCCAGGGTAATAATAGCTGCCCCCAGGGGTGGTGTAAGGTGTTCAATAAGATTGAGACCCATATTTGTTGTTGTTGTTAGGTGCCATCTAGTTGGTACCCACTCATAGCGACCTTATGCCCAGCAGAATGAAACACTGCCCGATCCTGGGTCAACCTCACTACTGTTGCCACACTTGAGTCCATTGACGACGCCAACTGGCCAATCCATCTCATTGGGGGGTTCTCCTTCTTTTTCTCTGACCCTCCACATTGCCAAACATGATATCCTTCTCCAGCGACTGGTCCCTCATGACAATTATGTCCAAAGTATGAGAGACAAAGTTTGGCCATCTTGGTCTCCAAGGAGCACTCTGGCTGCACTTCTTCCAAAATGGATCTATTGGTTCTTTTGGCAGCCCATGGCACTTTCAGTATTCTTCTCCAACACCATAATGCAAATGCATCAATTCTTTTACAGTCTTCCTTATTTACTGTCCAGCTTTTGCATGCATATGAGATTATTGAAAATACCATGGCTTGGGTCAGGTGCACCTTAGTCCTCAAGCCTACATCTTTGCTCTTCAACACTTTAAAAAGTTCCTGTGCAGCAGATTTGCCCAATGCAATACATCCTCCTATTTCTTGACTGCTGCTTCCATGAGTGTTGATAGTTTATCCAAGAAGAATGAAGTCCTTGACTTCAATCTTTTCTCTGTTGATAAGAATGTTGTGTACTGGTCCAGTGGTGAGGAGTTCTGTTTTCTTTACATTGAGATGTAATCCATACAGAAAGCTGTGCTCTTTGATCATCATCAGTAAATGTTTTAAGTCCTCTTCACTTTCAGCAAGCAAGATTGTATCATCTACACATCACAGGTTGTTAATGAGTCTTCCTCCAATCCTGGTGCCACGTTTTTCTTCATAGAACCCAGCTTCTCAGATTATTTGCTCAACATACAGGTTGAATAAGTATGGTGAAAGAACACAACCTTGTCGCACACCTTTCCCAATTTTAAAACATTCAGTGTTCCCATGCTCTGTTCGAATAACTGCCTCTTGGTCCAAGTACAGATTCCTGATGAAGACAATTAAATGTTCCATAATATGCAAACTTCACGATGTTGTCCATAGCTTGTCATGATCCACACAATCAAAAGCCTTTGCATATTCAGTAAAGCACCGGTAAACATCTTTCTGATATTCTCTGCTTTCAGCCAAGATCCATTGCACATGCAACGCATACAGTTTTTCGCATACATCTGACCACCCCTGGGATGCTTGAGAAAATTCAGAGTCCTGGGTGCCACCCAGACCTACTGAGTCTGACTCTCAGAGATGAGGGCCAGAATTCCGCATTTTAGGTTACTCACCCAACTGATTCAGATACACTCGGGTTATACCCTCAAAGGACCCACCTTTCCAGCATGGTGGCTGGGGTGCCCGGAGTGTGGAGCAACAGGTAGCTAAGCCAGTGAGGGGCCCCAGGGAACCTGCCGAGACAGCCCTGAACAGGTGACCTCACGAGTGGTACAGGTCTGCCTGACCCAGAACACCTGCGCAAAGTAGCCCCACCTACACAATCAATAGAAATGACACAGAAAACACTGGCTTCTCCCAGAATCCCTTCCACCTGCCACATATCAGTTATTTCAGAAAAGGCAAGCATTGTCTCAGGGAACCCTGGCTTATTCCTTCCAGACTGGGGGACAAACTGGCAGAGCCTAGGGGTTGTGACACTTCATTTGTTTGCCCTGACCAGGTGGGCAGCAGCTCTGGAACATTCTCAATACTCATCCAAGCCTGACATCCCAGAGCCCCCCACCCCCACCAGGATTTTTTTCTGAAGCAGTGGAGCACAACCTCTTTGGGAGCCACCCAGTTCAGAGCTGATTTTTCAACTTAGAATGCAAATCTCTTGCCAACTTGCGCACATCTTACTTTTCCGTGATGCACACCATATAACGGTCCATTAGGCTGGATGCCGGGAGGGGCCGGCACTTGTTAAATGCCCCCAAGTTAGCACATCCATCAAACAGGGCGTCTGCACCCCCTCGTTGCCCCAGCCCTCTGTGTCACTGAAGACATCAAACGGCTGTGCTACTTTCTGAGCAGCTCCTGGGGAAAGGTGCCTCACCGCCTTCTAGTCTTACCTCAGAGGTCGGCTCCACTTCAATTTGAAGTAATGGATTTCCTTCCAAGCTTCAAAGAAAGAAAGAAAGAAAACGTGACTGTCAGGTGAAAAGGCAGGGCCATGCTTTGAGTTTACTCAGCACCGGAGAACTCCAAAACTGCAGAGTTCTTAGCACCAGGCCCCTGATTCCAACGCTTCAGCCACACAGCCTGGCCATAAGGCAGCAGCGTGCAGGGCCCACTCAGTAGACTTTCTGGGCTGCTCAGGGCTTTGTTTTCTTGATAGCTTGGGACCCCACCAAGCTAGCAGCTTCCTTTTTAACAGGTCTGGATGCCTTGGGTCGGAGAGCCATGAGCTCTTAGCTTCGAGGTGTTCACTAAGAGAGGATTCCTCAGATCCACCAAGGCTGACTCCAAGTCAGCCTTTTGGAAAGATTCTCGTGTTCATTTGCTGCTCTGCTCCTTCCTTCATTGGATGAGAACAGCATTCCACAGACAGCTTTAGTTCGTGAGAGGGATACAGAACTGAAGCCGGCATGGCTCCCAACTGTAAGCAGCCACATGGCTACTGCAATGCAGGCTGCAGATGCTGTACACGCAGGGCCAGAGTGGTCAGGACCCAACACCACGTGTGAGTGAGGGCGCAGGCAGGAAATTCCAAGGCTCTTGCCAACCTGAATCAGGGTGTGTGGAGGGGAATGAGGGTGGAAGATGCAGTGAAACTGGATTGGATGAGGAGGCCCAGGTAGTGAGTGTCTGACCATCCAGTATGTAAGCATGCTGGGTAAGGGAATGGGCGGGGCTGAGTGAGTCTGTGTGATGTTATGGGCTGTCATCTGTGTAGGGGCTGCCTGTGTGCGTATGAGTCAGGGCTGCATACTGGGAGTGTTGGAGATCATGCTGTATGTTGATGGTGCATGTGGATTGGGGGTGTAGGGTCAGAGTGCATGGCACGTGATATGATGTTGGTCACAGTGTTTGTTAAGAGATGTATGTTGGGGTAAAGGATGTGTTCAGGTTTGCAGGGTGGATGGGGGTGACGGTAATGGGTTTGCTCTGGTGGGAAGAGATGATCACAGTGAATCCCTGGCCCTTTTCCTATTTCCCCAGTGGCAGCTTAGCAGATTCTCTCTCGGATTCCTCTTCTGAATCCCAGACCCCAGGAAACTCCAACCTTATAGACAGAGTCCAAGGACTTGTCTCCAGTGGGAGAGCGAGAGGCACCAGGACTAACGGAAGGAGAAAGAAGGGTGAGTCGTGAAGCATCCTATGAACCACTTACTGAGAGTCCAGGCTGCAGGGCAGAGTGAAACCGCACAGTGACAGCTGACGTGTGTGGGGCGGCTCCAAGGTCAAGTACAGCTGGAGCCCCTCCCCACATCTGACAACAAGAGGAGCAGCCCCCTCCTTGCATCCTGGCTGAGTGATTAAATGATTCCCCTTCTGCAGAGTCTGTTCCCATAACTCCACGCAGATTTAAGCAGCTCACAGGCAGGCAGCTACTGACTCTGGCTCTCTCTAGCACTCCCTTACTGTCAGTTAATAACCTGGGGCTCGACTTGAACACATTGTGAAACAGGTTTATGTGATGCAGAGAAGGGATCCAGAGCTAGATGTCAGCACAAGACCCTCCAGCAAATTGCCACAGCTTTGATTCCAGAGATGTACCATTTGGAGTCTTTAACAAAGTCCGTGACTCAGGTCAGAGAGGAGGGGGCCAGTTCGAGGAGGCAGGAGAAAAAGCAAGTAGGCAAAAATGAGAGTTGGGAAATGAACCCAACTACCATGAGCTCCCTCACCTACCCCAGAGTTTGGGCACAACCAGAGAAGGTAAGTTAACAAAAGTGATTCCATGGCAGCTTTGCAAAAGCCGCAGACCACCCAGAGAGTGAATCTGTGTCTGTGGATCCACAGATGAAGATGTTTCACTGCAGTGTTGTAAGAGTGAAATACGGGACTTAGGTGAGAGTCAGCAATAGGGAGATGGTCAAGGAAACTATTCTTCCAATAGGAGGACATCTTCCAGTCATTAAAAGCAATGCTTATGAACAGTCTGGAATGAAGTGGACAATGGATTTCTAGAGCATTAAAGGTAATAAAGGAGAGTGGAAATGGCATAAACTATAAACCACAACTATGGAAAATAGAAGAGCCTGTCTCCACATGCTGACTGCTGGGATTATGAAGGATTATTTGCTCTTTCTTTGTTTACAAGCATTCCAACATTTCTAAATGGAGCTTATATGATTGTTGTAAATACACAGACAGGGGGTTAGTAACCTTGGTCTATAAAAGGCCAGGCAGTAAACACTTTCAGGTCTGTGGGCCACAGAGCCGTGGTTGTAACTACTAAACTCTGCTGTTGTAGCTAGAGAGCACCCACAGACCATATGTAAACAAATGTGCGTGGCTGTGTGCCAATAAAACTTTATTTCTAAATACCAGAGGCAGGCTGGATTTGTCCCCTGGGTTGTCTTTTACTGATCCTTTATATAAACCTAAATTGAGTTTTTGAAAAGCAGGTGAGCAGCTCTGAGTGACTGCCCTTCTTTAAGCTCTAGCTGTCGCCTGGGGGATGTAATCTTGGAGATTGCAGGGGGACCTGTGAAGTGGTCTGGCCCTTCAGGTCTAAGGAGCACAGCTGAGTTGATCCCACAGGGCCCCCAGATCTCAGCCTGGACTGGGGCTCTCCCTCTGTGGGCCTGATTCCCTTCCCTTGTCTCTCTGTCCTTCTTGTACTTCTTCCCCACCCCTGCCCATTCCATCCATCCCAAGAAGAAGAAGAAAGAAGGCAGGGTAGTGACCCCGTGGGAGGACTGCGGTGGAAGCTCACAGCAGGGGGTGAGGGTGTCTGTTTCACTCACATTGGGTTCGAGGTCACAGGATGCAGGATAACTTGTGGCGCCCGAGTTGGCGTCTCCGGCACCGGTACCACATCTGAAAACCAGAGATAGGACAAATATGGAGACCACGCCACCCCAAAATACCTGATTCCTGGGAGAATGCTGATGGTCAGGAACTTTCCCTGGAATGGTGGGACTTTAGAGTGGGCCAGTAAGTACCCTTTTTTCCTTCCTCGAGCACCCGAAGTCCATCCATCTTGTCAGACATACAGTGATCCAGACAACTTCCTTCGGAGTCCAACCCCCCACCCCCATTGACTAGGCACTGCCAGAACTCCCCAGGTTCTGCCCCGAATCATCTGGTGAGCTATGAATCCCCCACCCTCCTGAGTTCCCTCTGGATGATGAAGCTGCTCCTACCCAACTCAAAGCCCTGTGGACATCTCTCCCCTCCCATGGGGCTCTGGGCCCCTGGTGTGGGGCCCATCATCTCCCTGCAGCCCACCCTCTCAGGCCTTCCCATTGAGCCCTTGGGATCTGCCCCCATACTTTCTTTCTCCGTGTTCACATCCTGTCAGGGGTCTGGTTGGGGTCCCCACTAACCTGGATGGCCTCATCCAGCCCACCAGCACCCCCTTTCCTCTATTCCAGCGGCTATTGCACCTCAATGGGGCTTGCTGGAAAGGGGCTGTTTCTAGCCCACACAACTCACCCGGGAAGATGAACTGTTGCTTGTATTTGTAGTAGTGGGACCCTTGCAAAAGAAAGAAAACACCAAGTGAGTGTCCCACAGTGACCGTGGGTCATGGTCTGCTCAAGCCTCGGGGTTTCCACACATCTGCTGACAACCCAAATTAGGAAGTGGTGGTGTGCCGTTCCGACTCAGAGCGACCCTACAGAGGGTTTCCCAGGCTGAAAACCTTTATGGGAGCAGAAAGCCTTATCTTTCTCCAGCGGAACAGGTGGTCGTTTCGAACTGCTGACCTTGAGGTTAGCAGCCCGACTCATAACCACTATGCTACTAGAGCTCCTTAAATTAAGAGGTACTGAAAACAAAGGTAAAGACACAGAGTCCTAAACACTGAGGCCAACTCTCCTTCCTGAAAACCAAGCATCCCAAGGAAGGGAGTCACACTGTTTGTGTTCCACAGCTCATCTCTCTAAGGATGCCACTAAGATTAGCTACAAACCTTCCAAAACAAACAAGCTTCATGCTTATTCATGAATCCATCAGTGTACTTGATGAGTGCTTACTGAGTTGTTACACTGTCATATGAGGCCATGGTGAACCCACACTAACTCAACAATACCCAGCAACAATGATCTGCCCGGTGTTTGGCTTGGCACGAGGGAAACAATGATAAATCAGACAGCTCTCCCTTCCCTTATGGACCTAGTGGTATAGTTGAGAAGACAGTAAAGAAACATGCCCTCACCAATCATGCTAACTATGAGTAAAGAAACAACTTGAAATCAAGAGAGAATTATAGGGGAACCTCATTATATAGAACATCCAAGAACTGTTCATCCCTGCCTGATACCCTGTTGGATTCTTGGGTAACCCATGTATTTGGCTCAAAATGATTTAAGGACATCCTACTAAGGAGTCCTGGTGTGGTGCTGCTGGTTAATGTGCTGGACTGCAAGGTCAGTTTGAACCCCTAGGTCAGTAGTTCAAGCTCACCAACAACTCCTCAAAAACCCTGTACGGGGTCGCTATGAGTCAGAACCAACTCGGCAGCACTTAATAACAACTGTGTTGTAAAGAAAGCCTATTGGTCCAGTGGATAAGCATTCAGCTGTTTCAGTAATGGACACAGCTTTGCAAACCCTATGGAGCAATTCTCCTCTCCATATTGGGGCTCCATGATGGCACTGGGTTGCTTCTCCTGGCTTGATGCTATGATGTCGGAGTCCCTAGTGGTACAAACAGCATGCCCAGTTGCAACTGAAAGGCTTGAGTCCACCTAGGGCACCTTGGAAAAATGGTCTGGCAGTGTACTCCCCACTCCAAAATACAACAACAAAAGCCATTAAAACCGCTCTGACGAAGAGCACAGTTCTACTCTGACACACAGTGGGTTAGCAGGCATCAGAGCTGAAAAGATGAAGCAACTACTACTCTGTCCTCCAGATGCTCAGAGTTAAGGGCGGGGAATTGTTCCCTAGGCTACATGAGGATAGGCAGCAAACCCCCCAGTAAAGGGCTACGAGCCAGCAAGAGACTTCTCCATGTAGAGCTGATGGTAGGGGCCTGAAGAGGAAGGTGTGAAACAGGACCCAGACAAAGGCTTCTCACACCAGCTATTTTAAATCTCTACCTGTGATGGAAGTATCAGTGGGGAAGTCTTCAGAGAGGGCAACCTCATGCAACAAGAGCATTGAAAATGCACGTGGGCTTTGGCCCAGCGTTGCCCATTTTACTCTCCAGGGATTTCTTTTAAAGGGGTAATCAGAAATATTCTCAGATGTATCTGTAGGATAAGCACTGGGCTGCAAATCACAAAGTTAGCAGCTGGAGCCCACCAGCCACTCTGTAGAAGAAAGATGAGGCTTTCTGCTCCCACAAAGATTTACAGCCTCAGAAACCCTCTACGGGGTTGCTCTGAGCCTGAACCAACTCAGTGGCAGTTAACAACATCAGCAAAAACGTGCACCACAGTATTATTTAAAGGGAAACAGAGAAATTATTTAAATGTCCCAAGAGGGATTTGCCAAGTATTAGTCTAGTGGGTATGAGCCAGGGGCCAAGAAGCTGGCTGCATAAAGCTGAATTCCTGCTCTGCCTTTGGCAACTTATGAAAAGTTGGAGCAAGAAACTTACCCTGCCCAAGGCTTGGTTTACACATGTGTGCAATGTGGATATTAAAAGTCTCCATAGGGGATGAGCATATCTGAGTGTGAGACAAGGAGGTACAGTGGGTGCTGAGGAAGTATGGTTGTTGTTAAGTACAATCCAGTGGGTTCTGACTCCTAGCCACCCTGTGTCCCATTTCCAAGGAAGGACTGAGGGGTTTGAACCCTGTGATTGCAGTCCAGTGCTTGTCTTAGAGCGCCACCCCAGGAAGCTGTGCTGAATTAGCAAAGACCTTACTAAAACCAATTACTGCCAAGTTGAGTCTGCCTCATGGCGGCACACTGCGCTTCACATAGTATCCAACATCTATCTGCTTTTTGGAACTAGACCACTAGGCTTTCTTCCAAAGTGCTTCTGGGCAGACTCGAACCCCCAATCTATTAGTGTTAGCAGCTGAAAGTGTTCACATTTCACACCACCCGGGACTCCGACATCTTTCTAAGCTCTTAATTAATAAGCAAGAATGACTTATAATCTAAGAGACATTTGTAGAGTTCAAATGCGAAGTCACGTGCTTTGAGAAAGTAAGACTGACCACACCTCCTGGAATTGGAATTAATGCAAGCCTGTGTGTGCTCAGCCCATCAACTCTCATTTGTAAGTAAAACAGCAGAAAGTTGTTGCTTAGTCCAATTCCAAAATATCTCAAGGAGGAGGGGTCCACATAGATGCATTCTTTAATCTGGGAAATCAGGGTCTGGGACGGGAAGCCACTTATCCCGGATCATGGAGCGCAAACTTCCAAAGAAAATCCACCTCCAAGAAGGCAGGGGCCTTTTTCTGTGGGGCGACCTCGGTCTGTCATCACACACAGTCATGTTGTTCATCAACAAGTAGCTAAAATTAACAAAGAAAAACTACCCAGGGGGTGGGGTTATTAAGAAGCTTAGCTGCTCTCTTCCCTCCCAAGCTCCAGCTTCAATGGGGGGATTCCACGTGGGGAGAAAAGGTTAGCTGGCTGTTACACTTCTTAAGTAGGAGGGGTGGGCATCTGAGAAGGGACAGGTGTCAGGCAACAGGGCACTCAGACATCTCTGCGCAATGCCAGCGACCTCCTGGCGTCTTCCGCCCTCCACATGCTCCCTGCTGATGACTGAAAGGGAGAGGAGGGTGGGGCTGGGAAGCTGACACTGGACACCAGAGAGGACTACTTGAGGGCTCAGGAGAGCTACGTGGCTCTGGACTAGGGGGCCGGGGGCTTCAGGTGGCCAGGAGAGAGGCAGACAGACAAGCAGGCAACTCTGAAACATATCCATTCTTGTGTGCCCACTGAATGATCTTCCAGAAGGAATCGGATCCAGGACTTTGAAGCAGCTCAAAATGTTCTGTAAATGCTACTGTAAACAAGGGCCATGTATGCATTGCATAGCAACCAAATCTGTTGCCGTGGCATTTTGACTTTAGTAGAAAACCAATAGCTGTGCCCTACTCAAAGACGGTGGCCAATCAGGAAGCTGTAAAGGTGTGCTGTCAATATTTTTGTTCTCAAAAGTCCTGCCACAGTCCTGCCTTCTGAAAGGTTCTGGAGTCTGAGGCAGGAGATTGGATTATTAGCATGATTCTGGAGAGTTTCACACATTCAATGCTGCACGGTTGGCCGCCATCTTTGAAAAGGCAAAAGTTATTTGTTTCCTCATTATTGTTGTTGTTAGGTACCATTGAGTTGGTTCTTATGTACATAACCCACATACAACAGAACTGTTGTACACTGTACAATCATGCACCATCCTCACAACTGTTGTTATGCTTGAACCTACTGTTGTAGCCACTGGGTTAATCCATCTTGTTGGGGAGGTTCCTCTATTTCACTGATCTACTTACCCAAGCATGATGTCTTTCTCCAGGGGCTGCTTCCTCCTGATAACATGTCCAAAGCACATGAGATGAAGTCTCACCTACCTGACTTCTAAGAAGAATTCTGGCTGTGCTACTTTCAAGGCAGATTTGTTCATTCTTCAGATAGTCCATGGTATATTTAGTATGCTTCACCAACACGAAAATTCAAAGTTCTTCTCTGGTCTTCTTTAGTGACTGTCCAGCTATCGTATGCATATGAGGTGACTGAAAATACCATGGCTTGGGTTCAGCACACCTTAGTCTTCCTGTTGTTGTTAAGTACCGTGGAGCCAGTTTTGACTCATAGCGACCATGTTTCCTAGGAGTAGCTGGTGGGTTTGAACCACTGACATTGGGATTAGCAGTCCAGTGCTTATCCGACTTGGGTCAGTATGCCATAGGCAACAGAGTTGGTGGCCCTTGTTTATAATAGCAGTTGCTGAATATTTTGAACCAGTTCAAAGTTCTGACCTGATTATGGCAGCTCTAACCTTCCCATTGCTTCCCACTGCACTAGAAACTCTTGCCAAGTCTGAAAGGCCCAATGAGACCTCAGCCCTGGCTGTGTGCAGTCACACTGTCCTAGGCTACAGTACTTGGGCCATGGGGGACGTGCTTTCGGGTCCTCCCATGTTTCTACCTGAGCACAGACTCCTTCCTCTGTCAGTCACTTTCTCTTTCAGAACTCTGACCCTCAACCTACATTTGTCCCGGTTTGAATTTACTGACAGCGCTGTACTCTTCCTTCATAGCATTTATCACAATCTAGAATCCAATTTTCATGTGAATGCTTACCCAGTAAACACCCACGTTTCCCACTGAGCTATAAACTCCATGAGGACAGCCATGGGGATAGGCCAAGCCATCCATGCCCTGGTCTCTGGCACCTGTGGCCCTGGTATCTTACCTGGAGGAAGGGACTTTGCAGGAGTGATTGAGTTAAGGATCTTGAAATGGGGAGATGATCCTGAAGTGTCTGAGTGGGCCCAATGGACTTGCAAGGGTCCTTATGAGAGAGATAAGAGGGTCAGAGTCAGAATGAGAGAGACCAGAAGATGTTA